TAAGATTCGGTTGTTCTAATTTTCCAAATGCCTAGGGAATTAAGAGGGAAAAGGACTAGAACAAGATGTGACTAAAAGTTGTTAAACAACTGTAAAGGATAATCTAAAGTTCGTTAAAATATTGGTTCCTCATGGACAGTTGGAAGTATAGTAAAATCATGGAAGGGCCATATTGACATGTTCTGAATAGAGATAACTCTTGTTCAGAATTAATAGTCATATGGGAATATGGAAATGTTTCCATAATGGGAGGTAGTTATTGGGATATGTATGTAAGGTTAGAAACTTTAATGCAAGAAGGATGTTCAAAGGAATGTACTTTGAATGTGAAACGTCATTACCATGGAATTGTTTTCTAACAAATCTCCAATGGAATGTTTTGTAATATCATTGGCGAAGTCTCTATGACTTTGATGCCTTGACATTAAAAAAGGATTATTGCATGTAAGTTTCAACTCTAACACATTCTAGTAAGTGGCAAGAATTTGGTATTCTTACACTTGTGATAAGGATTTGGAATTGTGAAATGGGCATCATTGGAAATGTGTTCGATTGATCTACTTCACAAAGAAAGCATCGTAGATAAACATAGTGTGCATGCTTGGAGCATGGGATGACTATTGTTTTAATTCAAGTATTAAGTTGATTGTTCGAAACATTATACAATGAATAAGGTCTAATTAATATGGTGATTAAATATTAAGTGTTTTATTTATATTCAAAAGTTTGAGACCATATTGGTTTGGATTATTCTTGTGTTTCACTTCGCATGTTTTACTTCCCGAATAATAAGATTATTCAAACATCCACAGTCGATCATACTTTGGAAGTAAGTAGTGAGGCAAGACTGTCATGAATCCGACTGTAGATTGTCTAAGAGCTTAGGCATAGCACAAGTTTGCTGCAGTGTTCATGAGTACTTCTGAAATAGGATTTGAGTATTGGATTAAACCCATACTCATTTGAATTAGATCATGGATTTTGTCACGAGTGATTGTGAGACGATAATATCTTATATTCTTGAAACGGTGACATATAGTTGTTGTTTACAAGTCGGTTGCGCATTGATAATACGTAAACGCATCAGTAACTTGATGTTATAAAACGTATTGTTGTGTGTGATTTGATGAGTAAATAGTACAAGCATATGAGTCGAAGTTTATCCATTCCTTTTACCCTAATTGGGAAAAAGCGATATATGTGGGCCCCTAGATGATTTAGTGATGACACCCTAAGCGCTTGGCCAAGCCTTGACTGATTTGATTTATTCAATTAGTTAGTCGTCATAAATCGGAAATCAAGAAACCGAACTTGGATAGAGAGAATGATTATAATCCATGTCTCATGTCCATAGGATATATTGTAGAATGGAGGAATATTTGATCCCTTATCTAAATGACGCGTTTCTGATAAGATCAGAGTTCGACAACGGTGTTTGAAAGCTACGATTGCTAATCAAATTCTGAAGTCATACTTAATAGTTATTAGACTTATCCAAGTAGGAGACTGTTGGATTAGGTGTCTAAGACCATAACTATTTTTGTTATGTACTTGATTTGATTATGAGCATGGTCCTTTTGGGTTGCCTTCACTCATGCAACTTGATAGGATGACTAGTGGAGAGAGAGAGAGAGAGAGAGAGTAGGATTTATTATATGAATAATAAATTAGTACTAAAAATGATTTTATTAATATATTATAAGATTAATATATTATTTGGAAATCACATTATTAAATTGTAATTAATCAGAAATTAATTTGATATTAATTTTGGGATTAAAGGAACTGATTAATAATGGAGGGACTGTTTTGCAAATCGCTGATAGTTGTGAAACTGGGCTTAGGACTCCTTGTATGTGGAGTGGACGAAATTTATGGGTAACCCCATAAGATTTCATCCAAGGGCTTACTAAGGAGGTGCATGGGGTTCTTTGGGCTTAAGTTAGGAACTAGGGTTTCCTTATTCAAGTCCAGCTTGAAGACTAAGCAACCTAGCCTTATATAAACCCTCTAAACCCTAAGGAAGTCGGCCCTATGCTATTCTAAGTGAACCCTGGCCGATTTCCTCATCTCTCCTTCATCCTTGTTGTGTTGAGTGTTTGTTACTCACATTAGAGGTACAAAACTTGGGGCACTAAGCTTTCAAAGATCAAGGATTGTTCTTGTTATTACAATATAACAAGTGAGGTAATCTTCTAACCCTATTTCATATGTAGAATTTGGAAATTGTATGCTAGTCTATAGGGTTATTGCTTTGGTATTCAATTTGCATGTTCAATAGAGAAAAACTTAGATCCAAAGCAATTAGGGTTGCATGTGCACCATAGGAATGTTGTAATGCTCATAACCCTTCAATATATATATATATATATATATATATATATATATATATATATTATATATACAATCTTATACTTATATATAACTAAGTTAAAGTGTTTTGTTTAGCTGGGGTATTTGGGCAGAGTAACCACTAGGTACTAAGCTTATCCAAAGGTCGGCTATAGTTATAACTAGATAAACAGCGTTTCCTGGCAACTGGCCAGCGTAACAATCAGGTAAGATGTTTTCTATCAGTGTGAGTTAGCATAACAACTAGGCATAATATTATCTTTAAACGTTGGGCAGAATATCTACCGATTTAATATTAAGCATAATCATATTACTAAGGTTATACAGTTAACAATATTTATGAAAACGATGGTTTATAACATGTATTCCCCCACCCCTCCACCCAAAAAGGTTTGAAATACTAAAGTGGGGCCTTGAACTCGCCCGTAAAGCGTGAAGGGTGAACCGTTGTTGTAGGGTAGAGTTGTAACTCGAACACTCGAGGATCGATTGGAACGCATCGACACAAGAATCGAAAGACACACACATAGAGATAGAGAGAGGGAGAGAATGGTGATTTTGAAGGTGTGAGGAATGACCAGTCGAAACTTCTATTTATAGGGGATTTTGGATGCATGTTATGCAGTACGCACCACACAATTTACACGTGAGCCACCCTGGGGGCTGACACGTATCCCTCCTCTTATGGTGCCACGACATCCGTATCTTGCTAAATCGGGGTGTCGGGATACATGCCACGCATTGCGCGTGAGTGCGCATCTGGGCTATTTTTAATCCTTGAAAATTCGTATCTCCCGCATGTGAGTTGCGATTTTGATGACTCTTATGTATTCGTGTAGGTGTCGACGTACACTACAACTTTACTTTTTGTCATTTTGGCAAATTTTAACTTTTGTTTTTAGATTAAATTTATAAGAGTTATGATTTTATATGTGGGTTCCGATTCAGGCCTTCTTTGTCTCAAAATTTCTACTTAAGGTAGTACTATGTTTCTACTTTTGGTGACTTCTGCTAATAGTCAACCGTTCTCCTCGTAGATTTTAACGTTGCAACTTTTTCTGTGTGATAGATTTTTATTTACTATAAGAATCATATATCTTCCACACTAAGTCGTATTTTTACAAAGTTTATATATTTGGAATCACGGGAACGCGTATTTTCTAAAAATGTAAACCTGCTCTCATGTTGACATGATTTTTCATACACTTATATTGAGCCCTATTAGTCGACGTAAGTAAGAAAAAAATCGAATATGTTTATTCATATATTGAATGGTTACCGAGTGGTCCACGTAGGCGGTGTTCGTTAGTGTTAGTTCCTAACGACATATGGCAGTGAATTGTCTGGGTTGTCATAGGTATCTGGTTTTTTTTGCCATCCCTAGTCCATTTACCTGCACAAGTTTAGTTGTCCATTAGAATATTTAGTTTAACGCATGATTCAAATCACTAAATAACCTCTAAGAACATTATAATCTCACTCCATAACCTCTAAGAACACTGCTTTTCCGTAATCTTTATTACATGGTAATCTCACTCCATAACCTCTAAGAACATGGTTTTTATGGTTATATATGTAACGACACTTACAAGCTTTTCCGTAATCTTTATTACATGGTAATCTCACTCCATAACCTCTAAGAACAATATTATGAGAAAAGAATAATGTAAAATGTTAAGGAAAACTTTCCAATATGGTGTCTCTAAGCTACTTGAGGCTTCAAATACTAATATACGAAGATGTGAGACTATCCTTTTGATAAGTTTGTATGTGTTTATGTTGTTGTTTATACACTACACCACCCATTCTCACCCACCTGTCCTGCCTCTCATTGTGAAGTACACCAACCCTTCAAAACCAAATCTAAATAGAAAAACCAGATCAATCAACCAATAAAAACCATCATTTATTCATTTGAGCTAAAAAGTAAAAGCATGCCACCATAATTTCAGAACGATTTAACAATAACTTTTTAGAGTTAACTTTTAAGAGTTACCTGTTTCATTATATCAATCAATCAATAAAAACCCCAAACACACACCAATCTAAAAAGCATTCAGGTATATAGAAACATATACATCTATACCTACATTCCATAAAATGAGAATCAACTGATAGAAAAAAAATGCATTACCAGTTTAAAGTTAGCAACCAAACACTTCGTCAAGTAAGATTAGAACATGACTAAAAATACAATAGCAATATTGATAGACACAACTTAGAGATGGCTATTGTCCATAGAAATTAGATACGAGAGAGAGAGAGAGAGAGAGTGAGAGAGAGAGAGAGAGAGAGAGAGAGAGAATACTAAAACAAATTTTCTGATTTCATTTATAAAAATCACAAAATGTGATTACTGGAACATAGATACATAACTTGACCCTAAACTTAAGCATAAACTAAAGAGTAGTGGGAAAAAAAATCATGTGATAATGCAACTAATATTGACAGGAAACTAAGGAGCGTGGGCTTTTACTAGCTATTGCATGCATCAAGGAAAAAAGGAAACATAGGAATTGGCCTTCTAAGTCAAGATGGTCATATCATTACTTCGCCCCTGAAAAATGGCCTTGTCCTCAAGGCTGATTTATGTCGATATCCAGTAGCAATCTGGTCGTTCCCAATGAGCTTGTTTGGAATTGTTTTCATTAGTTTTTGTTAACTGGAATTGTTTTTAGTAGTTTTATGTAGGTAGTTTTCGGGGGTGGGACCATCGGTGGTAGGAATTGTTGTTGTGGTGAAGGTGTCATGGTTAATGATGACAGTAGTTGTGACGGTAGAAGTAGTTTTTGGGTTGACATGGGCGATTGCAATGGTTTTGGAGGCGGCGGTGGCAATAACAGATGTTTTGGCGGCGGTAGTGGCGGTGTGGATGTCGGCGGTGGCGACCTAGGTTGTTGATTCGGTGGTGGAAGCGGAGGTGGAGGCAAGATGAGTTTGGCCATGGTTCCGATTTGAATGTCGATGAGGGTGTTGATGGTGGCCATTTCTGTGATAATTGCATCAAGACGACAGACATTAGCGGTGGAAATAGCGATGAGTGTTGAGAGTTGCTCGCGGATACTTGACGGTGTGACATCGATGGATGGATTTTGATAGGGAGATATGATGAACGGGAATGAAAGCACCATTGATGGACACCACTCAGAGATGACTATTCTCCATAGAAATTAGATACGAGAGAGAGAGAGAGAGAGAGAGAATACTACAACTACATTTATGATTTCATTCATAAAACTCACACAAAATGTGATTACTGCAACATAAATACATAACTGACCCTAAACTTGAGCATAAACTATGGAGTAGTGGGAAAATAGAAATCATTGGATAATGCAACTAATTTTGACAGGAAACTAAGGAACGTGGGCTTTTACTAGCTAATTGCATGCATCGTGGAAAAAAGGAAACATAGGAATTGGTCTTCTAAGTCAACATGGTCGTATCAAATATCATATACAATTAAACTCTAATCCCCAAATTTAAGAAAATTACAGACAAAATTTCAACAGAGTCACATCTAAAAATCAGAAGCAACCTATGTAATGGATTTTTCTTTTCTTTTGCTAAATCAACAAACTAATCATATACTTAACTTGTTAATCATTTAAAATGTCAACAAAAAGATAAACCTAACAATACAGGGGGAATACCTTGAAATCACCATTGATGGGTCTAATTTCTCCCATATTTCTCTATTATTGTGTAATGTCCCCAAATTGCAAAAGAAAATTTTCATTTAAAATAGTTAACCAGTTAAAACCTTTTACTAAAAATCATTAAGTGAAATTCATTTACTCTAAAACCATAAGATTCACAGAGTTGAATTACAAAACATTGGAAAACCAAATCTTCGATGCGAGTGTACAGTCCCTCCGAGCTCTTCAAAAAAACAACATGCAAATCCACAATTGTAAGCATAACTCTTAGTGAGTTCCCCAGTATACCGCATATTCCATCATACATACAATTCATACAAGCAAGGTCCTTGGCTCTGGAGCCTATTTGCAACTCTCCTATCCACATGCATACAACATACATAGCAGTCATACGTGTCATCTACTGGCACTCTGGTACCGACTCTCGGTCATCATGCAATGATCGGCCTTGCGCCGGAACAACATCAATATCAAGGCCAATCCTAAAACTGAAAACCGAATCATGAATACATAGTCATATATAGTTGGGATCCAGATAGACAATCAAACAAATGATCCCACCCAAAAGAAATAAATCAAACAAGAACCACGCAATAAGGCTTGGACCAAGATTTCACAAGTTATCTAACTTGGAATACATACGAACCCTATGGTATCCACTCAACGTCCATCTGAAACTATCATTACCCTAACCATTCATAACTATACAAGTGTTGTGATCCAACCATAATCTTTCACACAGGTGCTGTGATCTAACCATAGTCTTTCATACAGTTGTTGTGATCCAACCACAGTCTTTCATGAAAAAATCACAAAAATAGTCTAGCATAACATGACACCAAGTGTCCTACACTGCACATACATATCAAAGAATTATCCTAGTCAACTAACATGCTTGTAATCTAACAATATCTATTTCCTACCATACAAAGGATATACAATATAACACGTGGTATAGTATGAAGACTCACTTGAATCGCGAAATCGGACAAGCACAACATCACTCTCACTCCTTGCACTGATCAATCCCAAGAACCAACTATCACCCAATACAGATCATTCCTTAATCAACAACCCAAATCCTTCAAGTGTGACACAAGGTCAAACTAGTCAAAAGTCGACGATCAACGATCAACGATTAACGAAAGTCAACGGTCAACCAAGTCAACAGTCACCGCACCGTGGTAAAGTCAAGACAAAACAATCGAGATATCGAGCACCACCATGTCGTGTGCCTTCTTTAGCCACATCGTGGTTTCTGGCAGAACACCATTTTCTTCATTAAGAGCTTAATCCTTATAGATCAAAGCCCATAACTTCAGATCTGGTTCTTTTCATTGACTTAATGGATAAAGTTTCCAACTTTACCTATTAAGACATCACCACAAAGCAAGATCTACAACCCTAAGTCCAATAATCCCTCATAATGACCAAAATTTGTGCATAGTTCAAAGGAAACCATGACCTAACACCTTTTCCATCATGTTAAGCCACGAAATCGTCACCAAGAAAGTCTAAGCTTTTGGAGTTGCTAAAAACTCCTAGAACGTCCCATTAAAGGATTAAAAAGAACCCCATAGAATGAAATGAGATACAAGAATGATAAAGGTGGAAGCTTTATACAATTAAAATCTCCACAACATGCAGGAGATGCAAAATCTTCAGTAGATACAACCTTTCAACCAACAAGCATACTACCTTATTCTCCCAAGATGTATTCCAAGGTTTCATACATCAAGAGCATCACACAAACATCAAGAACATTCAATTGGTGGCAATTGTTTCGAGTTTAAAGGATGGCGGCTAAAGAAAATGACATAGTCCACGCGTTTAGGCATTTAAATACGACATTAACCCTAACCTCCATGCACTCGGGATGCAGGGCTCACCACGTCGCGGTAAAAGTCTTACCACGTCATGGAACCCAATCAAACACATTCTCATTAAATGATATGGCAACGCCATGGCCAGCAACATGCCACGCCGTGGCATAAGGTTTTTCCCCAAAACCTTATCTTTGAAACCCTTAATTCTTCAACCGATCATATCGACGTTACCTGTAACACCCCGACTCCCAAGTATAAAATTTAAAAGCTTAAATTCATATTCTTGGACCTACTCGATGAGTTGGTTGACCCCAACTCGTCGTGTAGAAATGGATCAGGCCACATATTTTATGAGGTCTACTCGACGAGTCGGAGGACCCTGACTCGACTAGTAGGAGCTGGAAAATTAAATCCTAATTTTTAGGGTGTGCATCCTATTTAAAGGACCTTATGTCCTTTCCTCCATCCCTTTACCATCTCTTGATGGACAGAAGAAACCCTAATCAGTCTAGACCTTGTTCTTGAGTGTTTGTGATATTTAAAGAGTGATTTGGTGCTATTTTGTGAAGAAGGTTTGAAGTCTAAGGATCTTGGAGTGAAGAAAAGCCTGTGGATCTAATTCTACTTCATCTTGTCATCATTATGAAGGTAACAACTCGTTACCTTGACTTATCTTTAGCTAGATCTCTTCATACAAAGGTTTAGGGCCATTTATAACATATTTGTGAGTCAATTCGGGTATTCAGCATGATCTGAAGTTGTAACTTCAGATCTGGACTCCCCTTGGTCCCTATAGTCATAAAGTTATCAGACATAGAAAGCATTGTCCCTTCTCTTTGGGTTAAACCTTTCCCTTAGCTTAGTTTTGGCATTTAGGATCATGCATGTACGTAAAGTTTGCAACTTTACGTGGAAACCATGCCCTAGGAGGTCAGATCTGCAATATGGAGCTTTGGGGTAGCTTAAAAACGTCTGGATAAGAAATGGACTGAAGGTACTCGAAGAGTCGCATAGCCGACTCGACGACTCGGTTGAAGATTGCTTGATTTGGTTCTGCATGAACTCAGAGAGTCAGTAAGAAGACTCGACGAGTTAGTTAGGGTTTTCCCGACTTTTGGACCCCGCATGGACTCGACGAGTTGTCTGGAAACTCGGCGAGTTGTTTGGAAACTCGGCGAGTCAATTAGGGTTTTTATGATTTCCTGAGTTCTTAAGGAACTCGACGAGTTGCTAGCTGCACTCGACGAGTTGTGTCAACATGGACTTTTGACCTTGACCGTTGACTTTGACTTTGACCAAGGGTTGACCAGTTTGACTTCTGGGGGTATTTTGGTAATTTGGGAATTTATGGAAGTGGATCATTGGTGGATGTAGGTGTTGGAGTTGGAGCTGTATTTGGTGGAGTTTGACTTTATCACTCCGAGCTACTTGTGATGTGAGTTCTTCTTACTATATCAACAGGGTCTAAGGCACCGATGCCGACCCTTTTCGGATTTGTATCTGGGTTTATTGCATGATATGCTTATTGATTTGCATCCTGGTAGTTAGGATGGTTATATGCTTAGTGACCTGGTAGGTCGGTATCCTGGTATATAGGATAATGATATGTTAGTAACCGGTTAGGTCGGTATCTTGGTTATAGGATGTTGCTATGATTAGTGATATGTTAGATCGGTTTGACTGTTATATATACTAGCATATGATATTTATGTGCACATGATTGTTTGATTTGGGGGTTGGGTTGAGGTGGTCCTGCTTTGTGCTGAAGGCCAACATACCCAGGGCGGACCGGATAGACTACAGGCCCGGGAGGGCATACTAGTCAGGTCGAAGGCCCGACGAGAGGTCCAGATAGGCTCAAGGCCCTGTGAGGCAGTCCAGACGTGTCGAAGGATCGGAGAGCGGTCCAGATAGGCTCAAGGCCCTGCGAGGCGGTCCAGTCAAGATGAAGGCTCATTATGCATGCTGTTTGTTTATATGATGATGATTATGATTGTATGGCGTTGGTATTTTGGGGGAACTCACTAAGCTTCGGGCTTACAGTTGTTGATTTTGTTTCAGGTACTTCTGATGATCGCGGGAAGGCGAAGGTGTGATCGTACACCTCCTTATGTTTTCATGATTTGATTCTGGGATACCCTGACATTATACTATTTTGGAAAACAAGTTTTGTAATAATCATTGGTTTTGAAATGTTTTAAAAAGTTCAAATTTGGCATGATTTTTATGGATGTTACAAGTTGGTATCAGAGCCTTGGTTTGAGTGAATTGGAGAAAACACTCGTGTGTCTCCAGTCTCAAACTAAGGACAAGATTTTAAAATGAATTTTTCAAATGGTTTCCAAAACTATAAAGGAGGATGCAAGTGTACGATCAGCTGGAGCTCGCGAATAGACCCCAAAATACCTTATAGATTATTTGATTTTGTGATATGTTAGAACAACATGCTAGTACCAGGCTAGGGATCTTCAGGAATTGCATGATATAATTTCATGATTATATGATGCCTGATATCCTAGGGTTTTCCTTATATGAAATTGACATCATTACTGTAGTTTCTTAGTGTATGCATCACAGCCGTACATAATTAAGATTTTATAGCCTGAGAATGTTTGGTTTGGCCTTATTTCCTGTTTTTGTTTGATG